GGCCCCACCCGCCGACCAGCACAGTATATGCAAATATAGAAAAAATATACATAAATATATATATATATATGTATATTTAAATATATATATATATATTTGATATGTATTTATGACAGTGATTTTTTTGAGACTGGGGGACTGTGGTAGTGCATGTTTGTGATTTAAAGGCTTGATGTCTTCAGGAAGTTCGGTGCACGCATTGCTGATGAGTGTTTGTCGCTGTGAGTTCTGAATCAATCATTGTAACATGCTGCTGCTCATTCAAGCCAACGTAGCTGCAATTCTCCTAGCATCTTCCTTTTCCCCCCTTTGAGCATGAATTTTCAATTGGCATGTGCTGTGAGTTTTGCAGAACAAGTGGGTGGCGAGGACGGAAAGCTCACATTCCAAGAAGCAGTGGCACACACTGTTTCTCACAAGACAGGTCCATCAGTGAAAGCGAACCGAGTAGATCGCGCAGTCGGCACTGTCTCGGTGGGTGACCTGCGCGGCGAGGTCGAGCAATTTTGCGACATAATTGGGGGCTACAAATGTGACGTGAACAACAACACGTTCGACAACGTCATCCACCAGAAGTGCATGGAGCAGCGCTACAAAGAGTTGCCGGAACCATTCAGGCTCCAAAAGGAGCCCACCGTGCCGTAGCCGTCGACCAAATCACAGCAGCAGGCATCAGAGGACAAGCGTGTCCACATCATCAAGCACGTGTACCTCAATAAGAACAAGATCTTCAGCAAGGATTGCATGAACATGTGTTTCGGGCAGCCTATGAAGATCAACTGGGGCAACTTCTTCACGAATGGACTGTCCCCAAAGTTCGAGAAGTTTACTGTGGATCAGGCAGGTCGTGATGCAGGATATTGATTCATCACAGACCAGGGGCCAAGGTCGAACAACCTTGCAGGCAGTCCCATTGAAAGTTGGTCCGATGGCAAGGTCCAGCAAGCGCTGCTGAACTACATGCGCTGCAGACCGAATGCCAAGACCTTGGAGTATTGGCCGTTCACATTGAGGAGCTTTGCTATGAGGTTCTCGTGCATATGCTTGGGTCACTGCGCCAGCACGCTATCACATGGATCGGCAAAACCAGAACAGGCAAGTCATTGGACTCCAAGATTCTCTTCTTTCAGTCCAAGTTCGAGATCGACACAGGCCTTCCATCGTCACAGGCAAGCACCTCGACTTTTTCAAAGCGGAGCAGATCGCCAAGTGCAAGCCGGGTGTCTTTGACGAAGGCATGCTCCAGCGGGTGGACTCCACGTTCCTCAAAGCCCTTCTTAATCCAGAAAGGTCATGCGAGTAACAAAAGACTGATGCTGAAGCTACTTGGGACTATGCAGGGAAGGGGGTGCAACCGTGTGGGCACTGTACTCTTGCCCAGTCCGACCAAGGAGCCGGCAGACAAGCGTGCAATAACCCTGAGATGATCGACAAGAGTCCAACTGCACCTGGGAAATTCCACATAAAGCTTTTCTCGACATCCTTGCGCCCTGGCTGGCTTCTGGCTTCTGGTTGGCTTCTGGCTGGCTTCTGGCTGGCGGACCCTTTTTCTCCACCCTTTTTAGCTCGCCTTGCAGAAACGCAGCTACGGGGCAAATAATTGCAAGCATATTGAGGGGTCGTTATAGTGCAGCCCCGAGGCTTCCTGCTGCATGTTAGCGTTCAGGAATCTCGGCGGACGAGGTCATTTCCTGGATGGACGAGTGTGAGAATCCCCATAGGTGCGTTAAAACGCGTTTGGAGAATCCTCTCTAAAGAGAGAGCTACTTTCTGGACCCAGGGGCACTGGGTGGTCAGCACCCAGAGCACCCTGCACAGGAACTCGAGGACCGAGGGATTGACGCAACCGAGGACATGGCGGCAATCCTTGCCCGCACGCACTGCGCTTGCACTGAACAGTTGCGACACTCGAGCAGGAGCTGCGGTTCTTTGCTGTTCTGCGCTACATGGTCATGGCAGACCTGCGTGGCAAGGAACCCTGTTGCAGACAGTGGCAAGACTGTGGCGCGTCGCGCGTTACACACCCTCAAAGAAAATCAAATCCATATGAGCAATGAGTTCATTAACCAATGTGTTGATATTGTGGTATACGTGTATACGATGCTTAAAGAATCTCTACTGCCTGGCACTTTCCGGTTTGGCCAACCCCATGCCTAGCAACAAATGCCAGGCAGCAAGAAGATCATCGGCTTTCCGGAGCACATCACCAGTGGCGGTCCCAGAACATTCTTCAGGGTGGTTCAAAAGTGGCGGGCCGCTCCACTACAAATCTTCAAAAGGAGGTTCATCCTACAAATGGTGGGTTTCCGCTTCCATGTCAAATGTGTTGTTCCCTTCCGACCTCCTATCCACGTTGGAAGGAGGGTACCCGGTTTACAGTCATTTGGGTTGGTTTCGGGACCCCTACTTTGCCTATTTCATACCCAACAATTATGGAAGTATGATTTTAAGAGGGTGTTTGGAGGCCGCCCTGCTTGGCCTGTTAAGGAAGCGAAAAGGAAAAACTATCATTTCTTTTCAGGGCACGTTTGGCGAGAGGTAGCCCCGCCACACCGGCATGTCCTACGGGGCTTTTGGCTGGCTACCTAAGTGTTGCATTAACATCGGCACTAAATGTGGCACAATCAACATGTCCCTCAAATGGCGAACCAAGGAAAGTGAGCTATGGAGAAATTGACGCATGAGTCACCAAAAGGACCTGCACAGCGCTGGTAAAATACAATTCCAGAGGAACAACGCTGCGCAGGGAAGCCTAGCCAACCTCTACCAATAACTGTCCTGGTTTGCACCGGTGCTCGCAGGAATTCTTCCTACCTAACTTATGTGGGTGTGTCGTTTTTTGAGGCGACCTGCTTTTCGGCTAGTTTCAAGGGGAAACCAAGAGGCAAACCACCATGTTGGGCCCCAAAAAAGAGCCCCATAACATTAATGTTGACCCCACACAACCTGTGCGCTGGTAGCGGCTGCCTCCAGAAGCGAGCAGCTGCTGAGATTTTGGTGCTCGTGTCGCACTCATGCCAAGGAGTGGATCTACAACAAATCAGCACAAGCCCAAACTGCACCTTAGAGCAAACCGGCCTGCTTAGAAGACCTTCCTTTGCCTAAGGCTGTTCTGCCAGAACCCGGCCGAACACATGAAGGTTCCCTTAGCCACACTTGGCTTCGCGTTTCGGACGAGGTGACTTCGGCTCCATCGGTGACTTCGCGGCCTCCTCCGAGCTCGCCTTTGGCCACGGCCCCCAAATTGGGCTGGGACCCGGGCCCGCCTCAAGGCGAGAGTGTAGACGCCGAGGGTTGCGTGTCGCTTCCCCCGTGCCAAAAGGCGAAACTGCACAGAGAACGAGCAATTGCGAAGGATTTGATGGTCTTTGTTGCCAAAGCCCCGCACTGAGCCATTGGTTTCGCGGTTGTGGGCGGAATCCCCGCTGGAATCACGTGGCCATTTTTCCTACTGGAGGTCTTGAATTGCGCTCAGGCGGGTGAAACGCTGTGCACACTGTTAGCACGTGAGGCACGTGCGAAACTTGTTTGGACCTGGCTGCTTCGGCCATTTTGAGGCTATCCCAATTGCTTGAAAACCTTTGGCCACTCAAACCAAGCACCAGATGCCCTTTGGACATTGTCGCCGTGAGCCGAAAGGGCTTTCCAAAGCCGTTCTGTTAGCTTTCTTGATGGTTGCACAGGCTACCCTCAAGGTAGGTCCCTTCCCTTGTGCACCTCTTGTTTCAACTCGTCAACAAGCCGGGACCGTCCTGGAGCCTAGGGAGGGCCAGTCTCGCAAGAGGGTTTTTCTCCAAGGCAAAGAAACATATATGCAGATGCCGGGTGTTTGCCCGTCTGCACTACCGACTAGCTCATTTGAGGCAATACGAGCGTTTCCCCGATCACCGCAATTCAAGACGGTTTGGGTCAACTGAAGATTCCCTTTTTGGGGCTTGTAAAGCGAAGCCTAAAAGAGATATCAGCCAGTCTGCCTGAACGTGTGATGAGGCACCATCTCTCAGCGCTCCTACTCCTTACTTGGGGTGCGCCCTCCGGAGCCAGCCGTGACACACGCGCTCGATGGATACCGTTTTGCTTGTCATGGGCTTTCCTCAATGGGATCAACCCGAAAAGGGTTCGGGATCCGAGGGGCTGTGTATATCACTATATCATGCATAGAAGACAGGCCTGGTGAACGCAAGACAAGCAAAGCAGCAACTTAAAGCAGTCCCAGTGAATGTTGATCGTGTCAGGTTGGCGAGAGGTCAAATCTGTGATGTTGACTCATGAAGCTGTACGGTTGGTTTGGCCCCAAGCAAGGGGGGACAGCCGAAGATAAGGGTCAGAGCCACATGCAAGGATGATTCTTGGCAACACCCCACCAGATAAGCCAACATTTCAGGGGCGACCAGCGAAGACTTTGCGAAAGCTTGATTGCGCCTTTATGGGAGATGTCCTCGAAAGCTTTGGGGATCGAAGCCCAGGATGCAGCTGCTTGGCTTTTGCGCCGCTGTTTTCTGGCTCGAGGGCTCGGAAGTTGCCCGCCAGCTCTCATCATGCAGGCGAGGAAGCAACAGCTGGCCAGTGGTCATCAATTCGTGTTGCTGTCTAGTCAGTTGCGCAGAGTCCGAGTTGCCCCCCTTGACAGCGCGGCTTGTTTGGTGAGGAGGTAGGAGCCAGTTTTGCCCAGATGAAATGCAAGCTCACCGATCGCGGGGTACAAGAGCGATTGCACCCATGAAGGTCCTCAAGGGGATCGGTATCTTTTGGACTGGCCTTCAGTCACCCGAAACAGGGTTCCTTTGTTGCCCTGCATGATGGTCACAGGGGACCGACTAGCTAGATGTGCACGGATTGATTGGCGATTCAAAGCATGTTTCTTTTGGGTGGCTGGAGGTGTTTTACGGTTGGACGTCCAGTTGGATTGTTGGCCAATCAACCTGGTGCGTGAGGGTCCCCACTTGACTTAAAGGTTTCGCCGCTCAGTTGGAACCTGCGCAGTGGGCCAGGCGTACCGCATGGATGACTATGAGGACTGGGTTTGCGTTGGGTAGCCTTGTCCATAGCTTGCTGCCAAGCTGCTCGGGGCGCAAACCTCATGTCTTTGCAGGGGCCGTGCAGGGGCCCGATCCAAACAAGAGATTCCGCTACTTTGAGGTGGTGTCTCTTGTCGCGCCTTTTGCATGGTTCTGCGCAGGACGGCCTCGGCGGGGACACCTTCCGTGAAGCGCAGCTCGGCATGGGTGGAATGGGTTGCTTGTCCTTGGTTTGGAACATGAGCACGGTAAACCTGGTTCTCCCCGGCTGGCTACCCACGAAGCAGTCGTTCCATTTTTGCAGGGGTCGGCTTTCAAACATACAGAACTGTCTGAAAGTCTGAAGGGTATTCTCATGCACATTAATCATTGAACCCCAAACACACCCATTTGTAAAGGAATCTCCTTTTGGATGCCCCCTTTTTGAGTTCCTTCCGTTAACTTTTGGGTATAGACGGGCTCCCGTGCAAACTCCAAGCATCCTCCTTGCCAAGGACCTTTCGGAGCCCAGGCAGGTCACAGAGTCGGGAGCTTGCGGGCCGCGGTGTCCTTCTTTAAAAGAAACCTCTTTGTGTGGTTTTAAAGGAATCCAAAGGAGAACCACCACTTGTTCTAAAAGGGCGGTACCCTTTGCCCAACATGCCTGAACGGCCTTCTGTGTACTTCCATGACTCTTGGAAAGCAGGATGTGGTCAATACCTGGACCTTCCGGGGGTCACACATTTTAGGCGATGGCCAAAAAACACTTTTTTCGTCGTTGGCGTTGCAAAATGCCTTTAGCAACAAAAAAGCCGGTGGTCATTTTCTTTTGCGCCGTGGTCGGGAAATTTCGCCCGTTGGTTGGGAATGTTCGCCTGTTGGTCGGGAATTTTCGCCTGTAGGTTCCGGGGAGGTTGCGCTCAACACCCAAATTGAGCAAAAACAAGGCCGCAGGCAAAAAGGACGCGCTGTTGCCCCAAAAGGCAATTCGTAGCGAAAAGGGCGTAATTTCAAGCATGCAGGAAGGTCCAGGTATGAGGGTTTGGCACACGGAGGGGATTCAGCAGATATTCAGCAGTTCAACCAAAAAAACAAGGGGGACGAAGCGTTTCTCTCTGCCCACTTCGGGAGCAGTTTTTGACTGAGGGAAGATTCCCTCAGTGCGAGACTCCGCAAGAGCATCGTTTTCGTTTCCGCGAGTTGCGAGCAGAAAAAAAATCCGGAGGCGCCCAAGAGAGCAACTTCGGCCGCGTGGCTGGCGCCCAAACCGGCACGGGCGACGGGGCGCCCTCCAGCAATCTTTTCCATGAGCATCCGCTCAATTTCCCTGGGCGTTTGGAGGGGAAGTACAGCTTGATATAGCTTGCAAGCTCGAACCTGTGGCTTTTCAGACGCCTTTAGCTTCTCATGGGGCCCCAAGGCAAGCTCGGAAGAGAGGGGTAGAACTTGGGCTTTGTTCGGGTGCATGTGCTGGCTTTTCTCAAGGTGACTGCAACTCTGCAGGTGTTTCAGCTTGGTTCTGCCCGCAGTCTTGTCAGAGGGAAAACCGAGCCACAGCAATGACAAGGTTCTTTCCCGGATTTTGTGACTTTGACCATCAATCAACCAGCTCAGCAGTATGGCACTGGCACCCTTAACCAGACTGTTGAGCCTTGCGAGTATCAAACCGGGCTTCCTTTTGGTTCACCCTGGAAATTACATGACGTTCTTTTGAAAGGCATTCCTTTTTCTGAGCCAAAGGGAGGGGAAAGAAGACCTCTTGACTTCGGGCCCGGGGACTCCAGGTTTTGGACTCCGGCCCTTGGCTCCGTCTGGCCGGGACGCTGGCGCAGGAATTCGTTCTGGCGCGCCAAAGGCGCGCGCTGAACGCCGGCGGTGCCCATGACGAGCCATGGCGCCTCTTGCCGACCACACGGTCCGTTCGCTGAACCAGCTGGCACGACAAGGGCGGCCGGAGAAGGAGTGGAGCGATTCTTCTTTTTGTGCGGATGGGAAGCCCATTTACTAAAACGCAAGGGTGTTGGACGCGGGATGTGCGAATGGCCTCTAAACCCCCGTTTTTCTTGAGACATCCGAGGACCTCCGAAAAAGGCGCTTTGGCACCACGACGGCCCATTTTTGCGCTGTCCGGGCACTGCCAAATTTCGGCTGTGTTGAGCTGACTGGATTCGTGGGAGTTGTTGTTTAGGCTGTAGCGGGCTTGCTTGGATTTCCCGCAGGTCATCGCTGCAGTAGAATCTCTGGCTTCCAAGCGCCTGCGGCCTGCCGTGTACCATCTCAACGCAGTGCTTAGGCACAAAGCGGTTGGACCTCTTCTGCCGTGTTTTTTTTCCACGCGGATATGGAACATGTTTTTGGTCGGGCAAAAGCTGACGGTGTTGGCAACTTTTGCGTTACTTTGGGCTGAATTCCTTGCAAGTTCCGCGCCTCTGCTCGTCCAGCACGCAGCTTGGATGTTCTTTGGCTCTGGCAGACCCCCCGAAAGGGGTGGATCGATCTACACACCAGTCGACCATTTTTGTTTTACTTTCCTTAATCTCCTTTGCCAGTTGGAGGTAAGAACAGGCCGTCACGTACGAAGGGTGACTTTGAGAATGGCAAAATAATCATCCCCCTCCCCCATTTCATGGCAGGGTTGAGCAGCTTCAACAACCAAACCATGGCATGGTGGTGGTTTCAGCAAATATTCAAAAAGTGGTGGTTTCAACATGCTTGAACAGGTGGTTTTCTGCATTCGGCCCGTGTTTGATTGCAAGCCAAAGAGGTTCACCCTTCCAACAACCATCATGGAAGTGCACAAGTCTCTTTTGGAGGCCACTCTCCTTTTGCAAGGGGAAGGTTCAACCTTGTTTGTGGGAGGATATCTCGGAAAGCCGAGCGTTTGCCCGATATGTTGAGTCAAGGTTCCAAAAGGTAAACGTTTCTTCCAGGTCCTTGGGTTCGAAGTGAGGTGCTCAATGCATGCCGAGCAGACTGGCGCCGTGGAAGGCATTCATGCATGCATGCCTTCGCTGTCGCCCGGAACATGTGCTTCAGATCTGTGATTAGCAGGTCGATGCTTTCTCTTGATGATACGTCATTTCCCTGAGGCCTCAGGGCTGCTCAACTTAGCCTGGCTGATTCACACAACTCGCGATGCCAAATGGCGTCAACAAACTCAGTGTCACGGTCCGCGGCTTGGTGCCACCCCCAAATCCAGGCATTTCGACTGCGGCGCATGGGGGAAGCCCAGGGTTCACACACGCAGCTGGTGCCTTCGATGGGCTTCCTAAAGACGTCTTCCTTTGGCTTTCTGGCGGCGCATCCGCGCATGCGCATGGCATTGAAGCTGAGGCCAAGGGCACTGAGCCACATGCAGCACATGTGCCAAGAGGCCGTGGGGGTGAACAAGTTCAGCTTCACCGCCGCCCTCAGCCTCTCGGATCTATGTAAGCCGAAATACGTTTCAGATGCAACTTGTGAACATGTTCTGGCAGGTCTTGACGTAAGAAGCCCAAGGCCGGAGTCTGAAAAAGAGTCCTTAGAGCCTCATTGTGTTTATTTCTGCTGTTCTTTTCCATTTTCTGCTGGTTTCCTAGTTGTGCGTGGGGGGGGCTCCCTCCATTTGGGTTTCTCGACGTTTCCCTTAGGCGCGGCCGCCTGGCAGCTCGCAGCGGCACTTCTGCGGGACATGCCTCGCCAGGCGGCTGGCACGGCTTCACGAGGTGTTTTGCTCGCATTTTGCGGTGTACACTCCTTTTATCCCTTCTCTTGGTACTCTTTGGATGCCAATGGGTGCATTACTTCTCCATAGCACACAAGTTTTTCAACAAGCAAAAGCGTACCAAGCAACGACATAGCGGACTAGCAAGAGGATGTTTCCATTGATGAAGGTCCTCTTGTGTGTTTTCTGCAGTTTGGTGAAGTATAGCAAACCACGGTGGCTGAGCCCTTAGCTTCGTAGGTTATTTAGCATTTATGAATCCGGATGACATCATGACCATGGCACAAAGGGATCTAGCCATGGCACGGGGGAGGGCGGTGAAACAAAGCAGTCGTGGGAAACACCACCCGGTACCCGGCGTCTCATTCGAAGCGCCGGAGGTGGCCCCGGACACGATTTGCTACAACGCCGCCATGAGCACTTGCCACGGTGAATGGGCTGTGGCACTGCAGTGGCTACAGGACATGCACTCCCTCTTGATCGAGCGCGACTTTATCAGCTGCTGGGGTTGCAAAGATTGGGGGGGGGGGGTGGCCTCATCTTTCCCACGTGTTGCCATTTCAATCACCATTGGCCCGGACGTTCACGGAAACTTGCTGACTAGATTTGTGTCATGCTGTTTTCGGGTGGAATTTCTCACTCGCAAGCCTACCTTTCGAACTGTTTTCGCTTATGATTCCCAAAGGTGAATGGTGATATTTCCGAGTCCTTCAGCACGTAAGGAAATCATTGTCATTCCCTCACTGGGCCGTTGAAACATGGTTGAAGATGTATTCTATTCTACTTGTTGCGAGCCGTTCAAAATACAAGATCTTTCGGGACGTCAGTGGGTAAGTGAGATGTGCAGGTTTCAACGCGGCAATCACTGCCTGCATCTCTGGCGGGCACTGGCATATCGCCTGCGCATTGCTGGCGGACATGCAGGAGCTGCTGGTGGAGCCTTTGCCCAGCAGTAGCTTGGCGCCGTTGCTTGCGAGAGTTGCATGTGTTGTTTCTTGTTAAGATACGCAGAACAAGTAGGTAAGGTGCAAAAACCAGCTGCTTTTTTTCCCCGGGTTTTCCCCAAAAGTGGAGGTGCTGATTGTGAAGAATTCGCTTTTGCCCACTTGTCTTTGTCCAAAGCGTTTTTTGTCAATGGCGAGCCCTTAGCCGGGCGTGATCATGTAACCATGGGGGCGCACCCTTTGCAACGGCCACCCTTGTCGCCACCTGATGCCGAACAAAACAGGATTGTTTAGCAATACGTAGGTTCAGTCAGTTGGGCAGTTGAACAGCAGCCGTGGTGGAGTCGAACATGCATGAGCCCATATGGGAGCTGAATGGGAAAATGAGTTGCTGCAACATACCCTAGTGTTGTGCAAGACAGACATATTTGCTATGGACAGCATGCGCCTTGTTACCAGTTGCCCTCATGGCCATGGGTTCTGGCCTTCCATCGCCTGACGCGGCTGCGAACATACTATGGATGCCCCACGCGCACATGATGTCAAAACAGAGTTTGCATGGGCGCTCCGCAAGAATGGAGTAGAGAATAGACAGCCAGATTGGCCAACACAAGACACCCACATTAGCAACGGACAATATATTAGCTAGGTTGGGTAGTCCCTTCTTTGTGTTTGTTTTTAATGTTGTCGCCCATTCACAAAGGTGAAGCGCCTGGTTACTTGGGTTTTCCTTTATTTCCCATTTCAAGCAGCAAAACGTTCACCTTTTTCCGCGGTCCCAGTCTGGCCCCAAACACCGTGTGGCCCCGAAAAACACGCCGGCTCCGGGAATATTTCCTTTGAGGAAGTTTCCGGGTTCCTTGCCACCCTGATGGCCCGTGCGCGCAAACCGGCTCACATAGCCCAGATGTGAATGCTGCAATAAGCGCCTGCGCCTCTGGACGGCGCTGGGATGTGGCGTTGCGGCTGCTGCAGGGGATGGCTGCCGCGCAGCTGCGGGCCGACTTTCGGCGGGGAGCGAAGGGCGCCCGCGTTTTTTGGGGGAGACTGGGCGCCACGTGGGCAAGCCGAAAGAAGCCCAAGTCAAACTTTGACCAACAGGCCTCCCACCGCACTTAATGGAATCCAACTTGGGGTTCTGGAGGATCATGTTCCTCGAAAAGGCGCCTTTTTGGGCGTTGGCGTTGGTGGGTGGGAGGTGGCTCGTTGCTAAGTGGCCCATAGCTTAAGCTTTCCCAACAGGAAAGAGGATAGATATGTTGTTCTTTTCGAGCCCTTGTGTTTGACACCCAACAAACTGTAAGCTCAATTAGGAAAACCACTGAAGGGGATTAGGTCTGTGACCGATTTGGTTACGTGGGTCCCTTATTTTAGGTTGGTCGAACAAATGTCGCGTTTTCAGATTGATCTGATATGGCAAGCTCACCTGGCAGGAGCGAAAACCATGAAGACCCTTGTTGGGATGTCAAGCTCATTTTCAGTTTTGGGAACTCAATGTAGAGTTCGCACAGAGCGGGCACAATGCCTGGCATGGGCATGCGACCCATTTCTGTCCAATCTCCATTTGACAAGTGTAGAGACGGATGTAGCATTGAGCCATAGAAAAT